GTATCAGCTCAAATTGTACATAGCACAGAGTACGGAGTAGGAAGTACGGACTACAAAGCAAAAATTAGCAATTTCGATCAAGCACATAGCATTTTAGTCAAAGTCCACTTCACCTCCTACTCATTTCCAAGTTTTGTTCCCGATTAACATAGGGTGGTCCTTCGAACCGTACAAGTTTATTAGTCGGCACACCACGTGCAAAATTCAACAAAACTCGATCACCATTCCGGTAACCACGAGTACTTAACAAGTCTTAAGTAGAATATTAAGCTTTGTGCAATGCCTCAGTACGTGAAATATTGAAATAAAATAGTTTGGTTCTTTAGTTTACGTGTACCTTCTCATTAGTTAAATTCAAAGAATGTCGTTCATATTTCACAGGAAAATTTTGAATATTCCTAGTGAAAAATTTGTCGAGTGCAAAGGGTTAAAAACATGTTTGTCAGTTACTTATCATTTCGTAATAGTGTAGGTAGCGACTTGCAATTCAAGAGTCTGTCGATCGATCGCGATGGAACGTTGACCCCTCGTCGTACAATGACGAGTGAGACACGTGATGAAGATTTCCAGATTAATTTAATTACAGTGAATGTTATTCATTACCCACGGATCTAAGCAAACAAATATTTTGCTATTATCATTGTATTATCTTCAAATGAAATGTCCACTTGAAGTAATGGACAATTTTGTTGCATTTCTTCCAAACTGTCGATAGTAAAATATTACACGTGCTTAGTAGCGGAAGTAAATAGTGTGCCAAGGGGTTCAGGTTTAGTTGTAAGGTATGAATAGACGACTTGAGAAAGCGTGACTGAAGGCAGGGTGATCTTGAGTGGTTGAAAATGTGCAAGGAAAGAATGTTTAGAACCGAGCGATTGGACCATGAGGATGATGTGATTTGGAAAGTGTGTACATGACCGAGTGAATGCTAGCTATGGATACAAAGAACAGGGTACAAGTGAGAAGGAATGCATGTGGATGAAAAAAAGAGTGATTGGGGATGAACTTTAAAGGGTGTGGAAGTTGAGCGGCAGTCTGTCATCATCAGCAAAGAGAGCATGAGTGAGAATAACACTAGAACTACCGTACTAGCTAAAATGACTAGTTTCGATTTTTTTGTGTCGCAATTATTGATATCTTAAAAGCATATAATATTGAAAATAAATAGTTTTATTTGAATACTACAATGAATGTATTAAATGCTCGGTAGTTCTAGTGATAATATAACGCAGGATAACGGAGTCTTCGGCGAATGTACATTAGATGCTTGTTTGATCTGTTTTATTTGATTTCGTTGAATAAACTCTTGTTGATATTAAAGTCCACCACGGTGTCAAATCTTATAATAGTAATTTTCATTACAATTTTCATTGTAGAATACTGTTAAAACGGACGTCTCGGCAAATCGTGTATTTTAGGGGGGTCGACGAGATACGGTGGTTCTGAATTCTGGACGACGCATATGGCTCCATTTTCTCCCCTTTCAAATAAGTCGACTATAGTTTTTGCAACTATATCCGTTCTGTCGGAAAGAAGTAATAACATGAATTAGTTACTAACAGTTCATAAATTATTGGAGTACAGGTATTGGGGAAACAATAATCTTCACTTGTTTAATACTATTGTGAATTTACGAAGAATATGTTTTTCTCGAAGTTTAATATTAATCTAATTGTTCTAATAACAATGAAAGTACTGTAATAAAAGCTTGACGTATTGAAAGTTTCAGCAAAATAAAAAGTATACTCTGAGTTTTCCATAACTTTCTCTGTAAAACGGAAAAGGGAAATCTCACAAAGATAAAATCATTTTCTCGAGAATTTAACCCTTTGAAATTAGAAGTTTTTAAATTTAAAGAATTATTTAATGAATTAAAATTTGATGAAGTAATAAATTCTCTGCAGGAGTTTGTTAAAGGATTATGATACTAACTCCTGCCAAATGACTTGGTCAGCGTGCGTAAACACGTTTTCATAGTCAACGAAGTCCAGTTTCTGTTTGCTCATCAACTTCATTGCCAAAGACGTGTTGGTCAGGCCTGGACAAATCGTCAAGACGCGAACGCCGGTTTTTCCGAAGTTTTTCTATAAGTAGAAATTTTAATTTCATTTAAAATATACAGCTTTCGATCCTTTGACTGCTATGAGAATATCTTTAGTGTTTTATACGAAGATAAATGGGATTAAAAACATTTATTAATTATTTCCTGTTACACTTGTTACGTTACATTATTGTCTTACATTACTAAAACTTTTCATGCAACATAAATCATCTTATTATAATTACTTTCAACGAGTTCGGAAGCAACCGTCATAGATGACTATTATGTCAGTCAATGTTGTAGAAAATAGAATTCCATGTTGCTACAAAGTTTTTTCTTTGTATTTTAATTTACCTGTATAGCAGAGTTGAAACCAACAATGCCATATTTCGATGCAGTGTACGTCGGGATGAACGGAACAGGTACGAGACCAGCCACGGACGCTATGTTTAACAACGCGCCTCCTTTGTGCCCATTATGTTTCCCCATGTTCTGCATGGCAGCCACCGACGTGTGAATTACACCGCCCTATCGCAGAAAATTAACTCAATTTTATTGTACTCGATCGAAGTGTTTAATTGATTAACAGTAGAGTTACTCAAAAGTGAAGTTCACTCTTTTGCATTTGCTTTTTAAGGGAGACAGCAGTAATAGCCTAATATATATTAATAAATACAAATACTTACTTACAGAAATTAGTGTTCACGATTTAAAAAAGAATTATCACTTGTGTGCACTGTACTATACACCTTAATTATAGACGGTTTTTAGCAGTTTCCAATGATGCTTACAAGGTTAATATTGATCATCAGATCGATCTTAGTATCGTCAGCGACTCCCGCGCTATTGATCACGATGTCTACGCTTCCGAATGTTGCGATCATTTTCTTAAAGCCATCTAAATGCAAGGCGATTTATTGAAATTTCATTTTCGCACAGTATTTTTCATGCTGTTATTAATATTTCGATAATTACCGTTCACTTGGTCCTGTACTGTGACGTCGCACGGAATAAAAATGACACGGTTCTTATCGAATTGACTTTGCAACTTCGCAACCGCGTCTTCCACCGCTGGCGATGGCAAATCGAAGATGGTGACGCCCTAAACAATTCCAATACAATATTTGAAATAGAAATGAACAAATAAACGAACATCTTCGTCGCAAATTAATCAAAACAGAATTTAATTGCGTGTTCACACGTTCAGTGTCATGTGCACCGTATACGGTGCATGTCAAATTTTCTAGTAGAACATTCTTAACATTAGAATTACCAGATGGGTCAAAATAACCCATTCCTAAATCCTTCTTTTACAATTATTGGAAAAATAATAGATCTTTCTTTAAGAAATTGCTAAAGAAATTGTTTTAGTAATACGCAAACTAAGTTTTGAGTGATCTAAGTCTCGATACGTGCACTTTTGGGGTTTCTATAGACAAATTTTGAAAAGTCAACTTGACTATTGGTAATTCTGGTGTTAAGAGACATGTTGCCACGCATTGCGATACGTTACCAAGCAGCGGAAACGTAAAGAAATTATATCAAACAATATAAAAGTCACCAGGAACTTAAATGTAACTTATTATTTTATGTAAAACATCGGTATAATTTATAAGTAAAATATAACTGAAAGTTACTGTGGCATGGGACGTGTTAATTACAGTAGAATCCCCAAGAACGCGATTAAAGAATCAGCGAAAAATAAGTATAAAAATGAATTTCTTCATAAGAAAGTACTACAAGCAAAGAAAGAAGTTGAATTACAATAAAAAAAAACGAAACTTAACACTAAACGTACCGGACGGGTCAGATTGACCCTGATTTCTTCTTTTTGCAATCATTAAAAAGATAACAGATATTTCTCTGAGAAATGATTGAAGAACAGATACTTCTTTGAGAAATTATTGAAGAGCAGATACTTCTCTGAGAAATTATTGAAGAAATTGATTTAGAAATATGCAAACTAAATTGTAAATCAATGAAAGTCTCGATAGATGCACCTTTGAAATTGCTACAGAGGAATTTCGAAAACTCAATTTTACTGCTCGGTAGGTTTACTGTTAACACTAGAATTACGTATTAGCGAACATGACTGGTCTCGACATTTTTATGTCGCAATTATTGATATCTTAAAAGCATAGAATATTCAAAATAAATAGTTCCACGTGAATACTACAATGAATATCTAAAGAAACTGAAAATAATCTGTAGTTACAATTTGTATAGGGATTACATACTAATCGTCTTAAATGCTCGGTAGTTCTAGCATTAATGTCCAGAACCCATTATTCATCTAAAACTAATCTCAAACCTTGGCATTGCGGTTCAGCAGCTCTACAATGGTTTTCAAGCCGATTCCGCTGGCACCGCCAAAGACCGCTGCGATTGTGCCGTTGATGTCCATTCTGGTTCGAAGTACAAGAAATCTGCAGATAACGAACAAAAGTTTCTCGAAGTAAGTGAAACGAAGAAATAAGAAACTCGTGTAACTCACGAAAATTACGATCGAAGTAACAACCGAGCACAATATCTCTCGTCGCGAGAAGAAATATTTCTGCCAGTACTCTACCTTCAATCTCCAAAATGCAACTGTTTTCTCTTGTTATGCCTGTTGTACTCAAATATATGCGCGGCGCGCTAAAATGTAAAGGGGCAAGGGGCGACAGGACTTTTTGGCTCATTATCACGTCCAATAATTATAGAATCACACTGGTTACTGGGTTTGATTACATTGATTTAATTGGCCGAGCCGCGTAACGGAGAAAGCAGGTAGAAGAAAACGGAACGGAGTGAGATGTAACGAACATTGGCGTCGAATTTCGCTTTTGGCGGCTTTTGACTGTTATCAGAAATTTACAAGAACTTTCGTGATACAGAGACTCGACTATGGTTCCTCTAAGGATCGAGGTGGAGCCTGCGGCTTGTCCCCCTTGCCCCTGTGACTTTTCAAATTTCGAGTTTGTCCATATGAAAGTGGTGTGATTATATTTACTGTTACCTACACTACCAAAATTGTTATCGCTGCTCTTGACAGCACGGGATTTGATAAGATTAATGATGGAAATAACATGTGGTTGTTCTCGCATGTACAATGGCTCGTTAAATATTCAGTTTATGGAATTATGTAATGTCTTTTCTTAGACATATAGCAGTCTTTAACCGTTTAGGTCTCAAATAAAAACTTCTAGGAAAAATACATTCATTTCCAAGTGTTATTTATATACATAAATTAGATTACAGTAGGATTCTGATCATATCAACAAGCTGTACGCGAGATTATATAACTAAATGGTTGATATAATAGAGTATTGTACAATTTCCGCATTATCTCTGCCTGGCAGTTTTTATAATAGGTGCTAAAGTTCAGAAACCCGAGAAAACCGGTTTGTATGCGTATATGTATTGTACATATGGCTCATTTGAGTTGAAATAAACGATAAGTGATTATCGTATGTGCAGTTTATGAAAATAGTTGTAATATTTGGTATCAGTGATTTATGAAAAGATAATGATATACTTAATAATTTAATGAGTAAATCTAGTGGTAATCTTTTAATATTTTACAATATAATTTTATTTCTGTACGTTTCATGTTCAATGCTCTCATATTTGAAACTAGTTACGTGCTGTTTACACGAGGGGAGGGGATAAATGGAGTTTTTTGTAATCGAAAGTAAATTTAAATTAAACCCAAACTTGTATACATAAGATAGGAAATTTTTGAACAGTGACGTAATATACTTGTAACAGACGGTGGAATTGAGGACAGTGATCCTTTTTCAAACAGAACTTTCAAGAAATAACGGAGCATTACTTCAGTTAGATATAGAAATTTTGACAAAATTAAACGTTTGTAACTTTCTATGCATACATTTTCATATCTACCAAATCAAAAGCAAGAAAAATATTAATAGGATTGAAAAATAAACCATAAGACAACATTCAGTAAAGCGTTTTCTTCATTGAGAAATAAAATTCTATTTTCCCAAATTTCATGGGAAAGTAAAATTCTTTTTTCTCGAATTTCATTGGTTCTTCAGTGAAGAAGACAGGCATACCTTCGGTCCATTTCGAAAGAGATTCCAGGTGGTGCAGAACCCCATTTCGTTTGCCCCGCCGGTAAGGAGCGCGATTTTACCCTCGACGTCCATGATTGATTTACGGGAAATCCGAAATAACGTGGAAATTTAACGATAGTACTTCCGACTATTCTCGCGGCCGATTCGGTCGCGAATATAATTCACGGGTAAAGTGCACAGCACCCGGATCGTCGGTGAAATTCAAGAAATCGAGAATCAATCGTACGAGATTGAATATCCGCCGGATATCTGATGGATAATGTGACCGCGGACCAGCGGGTAAACAGGATCAGGTTTAGGAAAAAGTTCGGCACGAGGTAAGCTGGAGACCGTCCAGGAGGTCGTTCATTTCTGTTGATTTATTACATTACCGATGCGCTTGTGTTAAAAATTGAACGAATCCATTGAGCATTCACTGGATGCTTGGTAAGAAGATTGAAAGAACTGCTAACCGATTGTAGATGAGGAATTTTAAAAGCACTACAAATCTTTTCTGCAGGCAGCTAAACTCAGAATCGAACATTTGCATACTAGAAATAAGAAAACTATGTAATGATCTCTTATTGTTTGAATAATTAAACATTTTGATTGGAACTTTCGATTCAAAAGTGAAATATTAGTTTCGGTATAGATGATAAAGGGATACTACATGCTTCTCGAATTTCAATTAAATCAGACGATTGATCTTTGAGACATGTCAGCTATCCACTGACAGGAACTGCTAAACTCACGATTATAATTTCCTTCTATAAAGAGTTCATCAACCAATCTTCAGTGAGTAGTTTATTTTCAATGGACTATTGAATAACCATCTGTAAGTAAAGCATTAAGGACACTTGTCCTGTCAAGAATAAAATGAAACCCCCATTGAAGTCAAACATCTTGGTCTAACAAATCCTAATTTAACAACGTACGCTGTCGAACGTACAAAAAATATAGCGATCAAGGGTAAAATCTGCTTTCTTCCCTTATCAAGTCCAAGTCTATCCAATGCAACTCTAACCGGCTGAAGTCCTTTGCTTCAAGTAGTTCCATCTAGGCGAGATTCCTGAAATAGGATCGTACATCTTAGCTACCAGATGGCCGTTTGCCTGATATCATTCTCGAAAGTTCTTGCTCCAGTTCGATTAGTATATATACAAGTTCCAAAACGCCTTAACCCAACCACTGCGTCTAAGGCAGGGTCTGTTGGATAAGCCTTACTGACGAGTCCTCCAACAGACTTGGACGAAACGGTTGTGGCTGCTCCCTCCTTCTTTCCTATATCTCCTATCTTTCTTCCAGAACTCGATCTTTACAGTCTGGGCGACGTGGGACTGTTCGCGTCCTTGGATGGGAACCTGCGTCTAGGAATTTCCCAAGGTAACAAAGAGCTAGTACCCTCACGTGACCGTTGCCTGGCGGTGGTGGTGTGGATGGAGGTCGGGAAGGAAAAGAAGGAAGAACAGCAAGAGGAGAGGAGAGTAGTACACCTTATTGTTGCATCTCCATCTGTCCGTCTCGTCATCGCTTGGGAATAGCAGCGCGGGGAGGGGAAGCAAACGGATGGCAGCAGGGATAAACAATAAAGAATAAAATAAAATACCAACGGGTGATATATCTGGCAACTCTGAGGACCTTTCTTTCTTCGTTCCAACAACAAACGAACAACAACAGCTTCCCTGGACGACGGTGGTGATTTCTGTTGTTCCTGTCGCCAAGCGTCGAGGATGATTCCCATGGGTTTCGTGTGGCGTAAATCATGGGGTTCGGTTGTCGCCCCGCGGAGGAGAATAATGGATTCATGAAAAAAAACACCCCACCAAATTGATGATGATGATGATGACAAGCAGACGAAGTAATTCACAGAGAAGGCCAGCCGCTGTGGATCTTCGGAAAACACACGAGTAATTACATTCTATGTTTCCCATGGTCGGAATTGATAAGGAGAATTGAGGGAAGGACCAAAACGGTGACGCGGTCGAAGCACACCACCCTCATCCTTTGGCTGTGAGCCGATTTCCGGTGCTACAGGATTTTAGAGGAGGCCCGTGGCCAGGGTTCCTTTCTCTCTCTTGACCGGAACAGATCAATTTGCGTCCTCCCCTATCTTCGAATGTATAACATCTCTCCAACGGCTTTGGACTACTAACAACTACTACGGAAGAGACTACCAACAACTTATTAAGGACGACGGTTCATCACCTCTGGTGGAGGCAGTAGAGGGAAATCAGAGTTGTCGATTTCACCACCTTTCTTCCCTCTCCCTTACCTTGTTCCACCGAAGCTTCCTCCTCTCTGACATCCTGTGACTTTCCCGGTGTATGAGGCAGGGTCTGCTAGATTTGCCTTACTGATGAGTCCGCTAGCAGGTCCGGGACGAAACACCAAACGAGAAAGGAATTTTTTCAAACTTTTTGTTTGTTGTTTCAGCAGTGGTTGTTCGTGTGGTTTGAGAATTTAATCGTTCTTCGATGCAGCATTCTATTATCGTAGCTTTTTGTAGTTACATTGGTGAATTATAGATATGTTAGTTATCTATGATCTTTTAATAGTAATTTGCTGTATATTTTTTATAGAAGGGTACTATTAAAGTGAAGTTTTGATCAAGTCATAGTATAAGAGTATTGACGAAATATGGCGGTTCTACATTGTTGATAACGCACATGACTCTTCGATCTGTTGGAAGAATAATACTAGCATGAATTAATTGCTAATAATTCAGAAACAGGTTCTAGATAAACTAAGTTTATTATAGACGCTCTGAAAGTGCACTTGTTTCGGTATTCTACTTATAGCCACCACACTATAAGTGGAATGTGTTTGTTTAACATGCAAAGTGTAATTTTAAGTCAAATTTATCTATGAAAAAATATTCGCTGTTATTGACATTATCAGTACTATTATCGTACAAGGTCGTGCAAATACTTAAAAAAAGTATGTTAACAACGGATCTCATAGGTAATTGTCATAACGTATTCAAGAATTCACAGAAATATGAAAGAAATATTAGGAAAATGTAAAAACATACTAAATATTCAAATGTATTATGAATAATTTCAAGTTTTCGAAATGAGTTCGGAAATTGTCTACAATGCATAAAAAGGCAAGCAAAATGTGGGGCAGTTTTTCACCTACCTGACCCTAAAAAGTTAAAAGCATAAAGTTTATATGCAAGTCAAGCAGCTGTTAACACAATAAATAAATGTTAATATACAGATTGCCATATGACGCAAGAAGTTAAAAAAGGCTTAACGTGTTTATTCTTTAATGCTGACTCTTTCTTATTACATTTCTCTTGTGATATGTGTTACATAATAATTGCAAATTATTTAGAATTCAGTGATTGCAACTAATTCGATCAAAATGATTTAATTGAATACGTGAAATCGTAGAACGTCTTGCTACAATTAAAATGAACAACAAGGATTATTTTTCAATGAGTATATAAGTTGAAATTGAATTCTAATAAAAATAATATATTTTATACTTACAAATATTGAGCTTTTACGCAACTAATTGTTTATTTCCGTTTCGGAGCCTTCACTTTGCAAATTTTACTCTTTAACCGCTGACACAGTTTCGATTTATTATGATTGGAGAGTTCAACGCATGGTGGCGTTGTTTTAATACTGCAGGACTAGAATCAATAAAGTATCCTATGTTTTTAACCTTACTCCCGTGTTATTTTTTGAATGATCATTTATATAATATTATGTGAAAATTTATAGTAATTACGAAGATTTCAAATGGATGTCGATAAATCTCTGGCAAAAAATTATTGGGGGATCATAATCTTTAATAAATGATAAAGGATAAGAGGATAAGAGGACCAGGGTTAATAAACGATGATAATATAAATAAACCATAAAATTTACTAATGTTTGGTAAACTTTCGGATCAACTGTTTCTCCTTCTTCAACTGGAAAATGGATCAATCGAGGAGTTTCGTGTACACTAATCGCTGGTTCTACCAACCAGACGCTTCCATGTTGAGCCCAAGCCAGCACGTGGCTCAAAGCTGGACCAATTTGACGTTTCCTGTTGAAAATCGTTGTTTTCTAAACTGAATCCTAGAGGATAATGTTTATTATATCGATATCAACTCACGTGATTGGCACACAAGGCGGTAACTCGCAGATTCGATGATCGGGAATGGGATCCGGGATGTCGGGCAACCCTATGTCATTGAAGTGTTTGGTTGATGGGCACAGAACAATTAGGCGTACCCCAGTTTCTTCAGCGTTTGTCTCTTTCTGCGTTATCCAAGTAATAGGCGATTAAATACAAAAAGAAATTTACGTGCAACGTTAACCCTTTCCGGACGAATGTCGACATTTCGGCGAGATCAGACGTTCGTATTTAGAAAACCAAGTCGCAAACAAATGATTTAGTTAGTCAAATAGCAACAGATCAGCACGTAGTTTCCTTTTTTCCTATTAATCAAGCAATCAGTATATAATTTAACTTCATGTGCTGAAGCTTTTGGACATTTCAATATCTTCGTTCTCAAAGAGTTAAAATTCATTTAGTAAATTCAGAGAAGCGAATTTTCATAGACTAGTTTTCTGTGTAACAAGGAAATTAAATGATTAAAAATACCACGAAGTCCTTAGTCACTTCAATTACAGGCTCCTTTTTGCAATAAATAGGAAACGGATCCTGGGGCCAACCCATGAACCCAAAAATGCTTGCACAGTTTACTATCACGCCATCGGGACCGTTATCCTTTTTCTCGAAAACTTTCATTTCTACTCGGATCATTTTGGCTGCGTTATTCTAAAAAATATTACAATCTTAATGAAAGATATCAATGGCCTTAAACAACGCAACAAAATCATTTCAGCTGAAACACGTTATATATAAAATAATTGTTTGTGTTTTATCTGTGTAAAATATTGATATTCACTTAAAATTGTAATTGGGCGACGATCTGTAACACACCTCTTTCATTCCTGCGCTATTACTCGTTAAGGGCCATTCCTTATCGAAGTCGTTGAAAATGATATGTATACCTTTGTATTTGCAGCGAGCGTGATTCAAAGTAGCTGTCGAATCGTTAAGTACTTTCGATAAATTATTTTCAAACTCGAAACTGTTACGAGTCTGACGACTTTAGTAAAGGTAAAAAATTCTCGAAAAAATATATGAATATTCTAGCATGCATATAAATGAAATGAACCTTCGAATTGGCAACGATTGTGCACATGACCTTGAGCGAATTGCACACGATCCTTCCCATAGGCATCGCAGAGCCTCTGCGCCGCCATTCTTCCTTTCTCCGCGTCGCTGTCTGTTATCATGACCTTCTACATAATAAAGATTGAATATTTTCATTTGTTAAAATCATTGATTTAATGTTATCGAAATTATTTCATTCATCATTGGAGATAGAATATAACTCGCGATAGATTAATTACAGATTTCAGAAGTAATCGCTGCTACAAAAATAATTTCCGCTTGATTATCTGTCGTATTAATATAAACTAGAAAACCACGTGTAACGAAAAATACTAACTCGTGCTCCTTTGCATAAAAGATGCTCGGCCGCCGCGAAACCGAAGCCATCGGAACCACCGACCACAACTGCGACTTTGCATGCAGGATCGATAATCGGTGTCGGTGAATCGGCGCTATTATTCCATTGTGAAATCAAAAGTTTTCAAAACTTTGAATTCTTAAAATATCATAATCTAAGAACTAAAAAAACTGAAAACGTGTTCCATGATCTCAATAGGAAAGCTTAATATCCGAATAATCAGAAAAAAATGATTTTCTTCCTGTAACGAAATACTAACGAACATCTATAGTTTATTTTGTTCGTTATGTTTGTAAGTAGAAGTTTATAAATTCATAATTAAATAAATAATTTATAGTAAGCAGTATAGTAAATTTATGTATAATTTATAAATCGTTTATAAATAAAGATTCTAAAGGTTTACAAAGAAGCAATTTTCAATTCTCAATCCTCAATTCTCTTCAATTCTCAATTTCGCTCTGTACATTTCCCAAACATTGAAGTTACCAGATATCTGACCTCCTTTTCGAGAACCAACCTCCGCTCTTCTTTTTCTTTTGCCGAACTGCTGTCGTTCTATAAAACTGGCAGAATTCGATTTTACTTGGACTTCTGGGGAACGAAAGGATTAATCCAATCTTCAGTAGATACTCGAAGGTAACTGTGAATCGAATATATTCGAGACAGCACGGAGCCTAGACTGTTACGAGAGAAATTGTCAAGTTAGCACTGCTTACTTTGGACTTCTGCCGCAAAGGTTGGAGACGAACGAGGTTACGTATCGTATTATCATGCTGGCAATTAATTTTCAACGACTCTGTGATTCATATTACTCGAAAACATATGCTCTAAACGAACAAGTCTCGACACAATGTGACGCGGAACAACGAATTTTGTAGTTTGAGTCGAAAATGAAATAATTCAACGTTTCAGCTGTCGTTCTGTATATCAATAATGACTTTTGTTTTCCAGTCTACAAATACTATAATCCTCTTTCCTGTATGAATTACTTAATAAAATAAATTCTAATTAATCATTTCGTGTTGTTCTTGTAACACCTGAAAGAAATAATATTCTAATCCTGTCTTTATTATCTGTGAAAATTTGTCTTACTAAAAACATTCATCCTGTTTTAGGAAATGAACTTCGTGAAGTTCAAAGTGAAACAAAAACTGATTTTATACTTCATTAATATTATTTCAATTATTTTTTTATGTTACATTCTATATAGTTAATATTATAGACGCATATATTGTTTCATCCTAGAAATGTTTTTTCTTCTATAAGCCTCGTATTTTCAAAAGCTAGGATAAACAGATGTTGAATTTAAAATCTATAGATAATAAACGGGAATATATTTTAGATAACAGAAAGTTTCATTTATTTTGATTTTTTTAAATAAAGAAGCAACATCATTTGTAGGATGACCCGATAATGTGATCTAATTAATATCATTCGTTTGGGTACCAGAAATAACGTCTCGCCTCAATTAAAAAGCTATGCACTTTATTAGCTAGGCTTGCAACATACATTCCGAGCAAATCATAACAAAAACAACAATTTCCACTAGCTACCGACCGTGGCGTCGATTAAGATTACGTAATGTTATATTCGAATGTGCGATTGCCCCTCGATTCCGAGTGTCCCGCGGATTTTCTCTCGCCGAGCCCTCGATTTCGGATCGAGACGACGCAGCGAAAGTCCCGGGAGATTTTTCATCGAAAATATGGACGATTAAAATATATATATATATATATATATATATAATAATTGTGATTTGTGCGCCGAAGACACCGGGCTTAGGCCTCGATTCCGTATATCTAAAACCTACGATTATTCGTTTCCTCTCCCATTGGTCGTAATCCCCGTTTAAAAGTTCGTATAAAAATTACGAGCGTGATTGTATTGTAATCATGGACAATGCATTGGACTCGTCTACCCCACGATCATTATCAGACAGCGGATCTGTATGCAATATCAAAATTTGTTTATGTAACTAAAAGAAATAAGGGTTTGAAACTAGAACTACCAGATGGATTAAACTGACCCATTTTGTAATCGTTCTACAATTATCGAAAAGATAATTACATGCTTGTATGAGAAATTATTAATGGGATTAATTTAGTGATTACCAAACTGAATGACAAACCAATTTAATTATATATCTGAATTTAATTTTAAAAACTTGATAAATTTAAAGAAGTCAATTCAACTGTTTGATAGTTCTAGTGTCAAGCTAATTTCTTTTCTTAAGAGTTTCAATAAGTTGAGAATAAAGTGACATTATACCTAAATTCTTACGAAGATTTTCCCGTTTTACATTCTATTTGCATAGTTATCTACTTCATATTCTAATTGCATTTTAATAGCCATAAACGCATCAAATCCGCTGCCCAATCATTCATTTTCGTTGACTCTGATAATACTTACGAACGCTTGATGGGTGGATTGAGATGAACGGAAGCGATGGATACTTTTTGTCTGTGTTCTTTGCTTTTTCCCCTTTTCTTTGTGCTCCGAGTCGATACACCAGATCGTGGACCGACTTTTCTTTATTTTTCTTTCTTCGTTTTTCCTTTATACGTATAATCCTCTCACTACCTGACGAACCGTGGCGAAAATACGACACGTCCACCGAGTATTTTTGTACAGGCAAAGATTTTCGATTTTACAAATAGCTGACGGTGTGTGTGTGTATGTGTGTATACAAACTAGAATGCGATACAAATTGTCGAGCATCGGAACAGTCTACGAAATGTTATGTATAAAGGACACGGCAGCTGTCAATGATCCAATTTCCAGCGGAAGTTCTCGATCCACGACGAACTTTTTCTATTTGTCGCGACGCGAATCATTGCACGATCGTGCTTGGAAAATTTCTGTTTTTCGTTTCGATCGACGTGTTCATAAAAAATTTCTGTTTTTCCTTACGATCGACGCGCTCGTCGAAAATTTCAATTTTTCGTTTCGATCGACGTGTTTGCTAGAAAATGTCAGTTTCTCTTTTTCACTATTATTCGTCTAACTTCTATCGAACTCGACGACTCCCGGAGGAAAATGGAGATCGAAGATCCGATGGCATCTTCGAGGATTGCTTCGTCGGTGTTAACGCTAGGTCTTTAAAGTCTACTTAGGTGTAATCATGGAACGCATAACAATGTACAAAAAGGTGTTCTCGCCAAGTATGCAGAACACTCCGCCTTTGTTGAAACTTTGTTCTTTGTTACGGCGCGACGGGTTGTTGGTGTATAATCGACAGTGGCAACGATCGATTGGCAACTTCTTTTGTTTTGTCAATTCTTGATCGCGTTCGGGTGTCGCATTTTAATTCGAGTATCAGGCTGATCCAGGCACGTCTAGTAACTTAACACATTGCGTACCGGCTAATTTTCAGAAAACTGAATTGTGCTGATGGCAATTTTCACTGAGGTCAACTGATATCAATATACATAGAAAAACTCAGATGTCATATTGTTATGTAGTATATTTTAAATAGATAATCAATTCGAATTAAATTTTATATTTTTTCAATGCTGTGGTAATTAGCCAAGTTGCATAGCTAAGTGTCTTTATATAAAAACGAGATTTCTTGTTACCGGTACGCGATGTGTTAATTGAGTTGCAAATTAAGTTAATAATATTAACTGTACTGTTCGCGGACGTTGAAAGTTAGTTCAGTGATTTAGTAAAACGATTTCGAGATCCATCTTCGATTTTTCGGTCGATTTTACTCTCTTATCAAATATAAATTGATTATCAATTTCTAAAGAGTATTTTCATACAAAACAGAATATTCCTTTATTCCTTACTAACTGTTGGTAGTATCATTAAACTGACGAGCATATTTGATTTATTTCGTTTGAGAAATTAATAGTGACTTTAAAATCATGACCACTCTGTGATAATTTTACGTAATAAATCGTTCGTCAATAAATATGTGGCAGTCGTTCGAGTAAATTACTAGATGTGTCCGAGCCAGCTTACCATGCACAGCGAAGCGCGAAGAACGACGTCAAATACATATCGTTTTATACTCGTTTACTTATCTATTACAGGTTGGATAAATACGGTACGTTTATACATTGAACCCTGTGCAATTCTGTCAGAGGTGCTACACTTGGGTCTCGCGTGTCCGTCGCCGGCCGTTCCGGCAGTATAATAAAGGTACATTCGCAATTATGGTACGGCATGGTTAAATTTGTATTCAAGCGAGGGTGAAACCACGTGGATTCTTAGATCTTCGAGAAAGTGATCTCGTGAGGTGGCTGATCCTTCTCGACCAGCCAGATGCTTCCGCTTTTGCCGGTGGTTAGCACGTGGACCAACGCCTTCGCCACGTGCTCCGCTCTGGAACAACAATTTCATCAGTGTTAACCACTTGACCTCGAATGTTCTTCACTTGGAATATTCAATACTTTCTAGTTAGGTGTAGACAAGATTCTATAAAATTAATTTATCAAGAAATTACACGTAAATTAGGGAACAAAGCTGTTTTCTTTCAAAGATTAATGGTAGATACCAAAGTTTATAATTTTGCTGTATCAAATCGTTTGGCGACTAGAAGTCGCCCCTCGAGTACAAAGGGTTAACCCTTTGCACTCCGAATTTCTTTTGCATTTTTTCCTGAATAACTCTGTATTGCTACGATATTTTATTTGAAATTCATTTTGAGAAATAGATAGTTTGTAGAGAGCAGTGTAAACGATTCTTCTTGTTAATAATATTGAAAATAACATAATAATATAATCTGTGAATAAAACTGATGTCCAGTCACGCTCGACATAGGAGCGCAAACGTTTTCTTTCGTTCATTTGACTTTATATTAATTGCTGTACTATCCGATTAATCAGTTCTCGAATTTTTGTCTTTCTTTTTCTTTCTATTTCCAGTAAGAAAAATCTGCCATCGAGCTTGTTTACTTTTAGTTTGCAGCTAGTTAATGGAAACTTTATTTCAATGTACCATTTTTGTTTAAACCTTTGTTTACATATGTTGATGGTACTTGATGAGAAAAGACTTGTAAACTAATGAATTACTACACCTGAAACTTAAAATTTCGCCTTTCTTCATTGAAAGTTGTATCACAGTTTGAAAATAAATCATAGAGTAAGGGGTTAATAATTCGAGACATCAAATAAAGAGTGAACAAGGAAGATATAAAATATCAAATAATTCGTTAAAGAAAGGATGTGTATGGTTTATGTGTAGAATTTCCGATAATAAAATTAGGAAATGATTGGTTCCGGAAGAAGGTAGATGGAGCCATATCATATTTCTATTTCAAGTTTCTATCTACCTTTGTGGCACGGAATTAGCTATGTCACAGTGCCAGGCATCCTCATATCGACGCCAGAGCAGATGTTTACTGTCATCCTTTAACGATTTGCTATCCGTCGCACCTGGGCACAGTGCCATCACCTTCACGCCGGTCAAATCCACGTGGTACTGGTGCTGAAGAAAACAATAACACCGTAATATATTTTTCTTCGATCTCAGAGTCAAAACAATGTCTACATTAACCCTTTGCACTCGAAAGTGTCTCACTACAAACATTCAACGTTGCTCGATGTGATATAGACATTATTTGAAACCGAGCGAATGAAAAACCACATATGAATTAAGAAACAAAGCTATTTCCTTTCAATATTTCACATATCTATGCGTTATACAAAGCTTAATATTGTATATCCAATCTTAGAATTTTGCTATATCAAATCAAATGGTGACTGAGAATCGCATCTCGAGTGGAAAGGGTAAAAAACATCAGGAACATGAAATTTTATTTTTCCAATATACAGGATGACTCAAACAGAGTCACTCTTAAAACTTTCTAATAAATCATGCTTATAATATAATATGTTTCATATTTATAACGTACCCAATAAACATTAACAGTTAATATAAATGAATATGAAAATATAATTGAATATTTCCTTCATTTCATTTCATTTATCATTTTTATATTATTTTCATGTTTAATTTATTATCAATATCATTTTTATATTATTTTCCTGTCTAATTTAATATCAATATCATTTTTATATTATTTTTTTTATTTAATTAATATCAATATCATTTTGTCATGTGTTTCTTGACACGTGTTAGCAAATGTTGAGAAGCCTTATTGACAGTGTAAGCGTTGATAGTTACCCCGAACGCTCTGGTGAAATTGACAATGGCCGCTTTAGTGGCAGAGTAAATTGGAAGACTGGGGTAGGGGTTAACGCTGACATTGCTTCCAATATTGACCACTATTCCGCCGTGACCTCCCATGTCTGTTCTCATGAATTGTTGAGCAAGCAGTGTTCCGCGGATCACGCCATACTGTAACAATTATTTCAACAAAGATCTTGAACTGCAATACATAAACGATCAATGAACATTGAAACGCTCATCAAACATCAGAGATTACAATTTCATAGGCCATAAGTAGATTCAATTCATTGAAAATCTGTGTTAACACTTTCCACTACTTTCACTGAACCAAGTGACAAAAAATAATTTTTACTTATGTACTTGATATGCGTTTATGAACTATTATGTATATGCAACATTTCTGAAAGATTGAGCCCACAGATTAAACTGAAAAAGAATGTAAACGAATGTTTGATTTGAAAGTTAATTTTAAAGATTATTATTTCATGAATTATGGAATGAGTTTATAAATATTTGATTACTAGATATCGGATAATAGGTAATTAATGATTACTCACAATGTTAATATCGACTTGCAGCTCCCAAAGTCGATCGTTCATCATCTCAGCATTGTTTACAACAATGTCGATGTGACCGAACGTTGCGATTGTCTTCTGAAATACATCTAGAAATAAATTATTTCCCGGTTAGTTACTATTATCGAACGTAAATTAACACGTTAAGCACCATGTTAGTCACCGATAACCGATGCTCGTGAATTACTTGGAAACAAAGCTAACGTGCAAGATAACCGATGTCCAATGAAAATGTTCAACACGTTAACACTGAAATTCCAAGAGTGCATCTATTGGGACTCTAATTGATTTACAATTCAGTATTCGTATTGCTAAATCATTTTTTTTAATAATTACAGAAAGAAGACATCAGGAAAGGGTAATTTTTTCCGTCTGGTAGTTTTAGAGTTAACTACCACGGTGACTACCAACTAAAACGTTTAATAGCATAAATAATTAGATAATGGTGTCAAGTAAAAATTCTGATGTCAAATGATCAATAATTGATCAATAATATTTACGTTTGCTATGAAAGGGTAAGTAACATATAAAATTCTCAAGATTCTCGTGGCAGTTGACATGTTAATAACACAACTGAGCTGATATTTATACTGTGGATCTTTATGCAAATTAAAATTTTCAAGAACATAATTAAAACAGCAGAATTAAAATGCAAAATGGTTTTTCCTAACAAATGTCATGAAAAGCACTAAACATTAGATATTTTATATATTTTTTTGTGTCATATGCATTCTGTGCAATTTTGCACCTCCAAATTTCTCATAAATGCATAAAAAACCGCGGTATACTGACAATGGTGTAATGCAAGGATACTAACGCCAAATAATTAACAATTACACTTGCTTTTCTTTGGTACAAAGAAATAACTGTACGGTAAATCAGTCAACATTTTTATGGCGCTTAATGTGTTAATACAAACTGTTGTAACACAATGTTTTCAATATCTTTCCATGTACCTTCGAACTGTGAGTAATCTGTAACATCGCACTGACAGAAAATTACACGATCCTTTCCATAATCTGAAGTTAACATTTCCACCAGCTTTTCACCCTCGTTTACATCGATGTCGCACACGGCAACCTGCGAATAGAAACACAATTTTTTTCCAACATTAAAGCAAAGCACATATTGAAAGTGAAAAATTTCTGCATTTTCTTTTGTTCACTTAATTTCATATTATTTCCTATATTGTCTAATTAATTGATTTTTCAATTTTCATCCTTCCTTTCGTTTCTGTCTCCACTAAGAAAAATGTATTATCTAATTCATTTATCTCTATTTTGTAGCTAATTATCTGACGAGTTAGGAAAAGTGTCGGTATTGTTAGTGTTAATAGATTTACTAAATTGTGAATCTTTATTCAACTTGTAATATTATAACATATTCTCTGAATATTCTAATTGGATATTTGAAGAATATAAAAATATAAAATTCAAACGTTTGTTATATGTTCAAAAGAAGTGATTACATTTGATAGCTTTTGAAATTAATTAACATTCGTGAACGATTTGCAGCACTCGATATTTTTATCAATTGAGTTCTCTATGTAGGTTGCGATAAATATACTGCTCCCTGTCATCGTTATTAATATTCAGTTTTTATTCTTCAAAAGTCGGTCAGATAACGGGATAAAATATCTCTTCTGACGGGAAACGATCCAAATATAAGTCGGTCATTCTTGAGTGCGAGACGTTAAAACATTTAAGGCGATATTCTGATCGTAAATTAAGATTGCATACTTTTTGAGGATTCGAAAAGTAACTTTACATTTCTCTTTTTTGAACTGTTCTAGAAAGTGCAGGTATCTCGATTTTTTTTAGTTACCTGTGCGCCTTGGTACACTAACTCCGTGGCAAACGCCTTGCCGATTCCGGTAGCAGCACCGGTCACCAGGGCTACTTTCCTTTTTAGGTCCATTTTCAACTGTCCTTTGAAAACTGTTTGTCTGTGAACAGAATAAGTGCACAATATATTTCAAAAATCAGTCTCGTATCAGTAAAATGAAAATTTATTATTTCAGTGAAAAGAAATTTACTTAGGAACTTTTTTTTTTACTTAAAAATTTGATTCTATTACGAATTTTTATTAATTTTCTGTCAATAGTGTAATGATAATTTGTCAGAAACTATTCTATGGTACTGGGTTTATTAGTCGATAATTAATTTCTCTTCAAATATCATCTCGCAACGTATTCTGCATTCACCCAGGCAGATACGAAGAACCAAGAAAAAATCCGTCTCACTGATAACAGGCGCCGAGCAGATGGCGCAACTTAAAATAAATGTTTATCGCAAGCATTTTGCTGTAAGAATAAAACAAGTACCGCGACAATCTGCACATTATTTATATCACATTTGTAATCGATTAATAAAAAACGTCATACACAAAAATAGAGATAAATCTTTGAAAATAAATATTCCATTTCCATAAAAATTCACAATTTTCAATTGTCATACAATTAATTCCCCATTCTGACATCCGAATATTCCCATCCACATTTACAACGATTACTCCACGAATATTTACGCATTTACACAATATTTAAAATTTCATTTTGCACAAAATGCGATATATAAAAACCCACAGAGTATTCAAACAATTTTATCCCTTTACTCACATTCGCAAAATTTTCAAGTTCCATAAAAATCTGCATCATAATACTAACTAATTACTTCAATAATAACTACTTCTTACTATCAATTATTATTCAAACAACTACAACAATAAAGTTCCGATAATAAACATTTAAATATTCCCCGAACCTAAATCCCTAATTAATTTGAAACCCAAGCAGTGCGATTTGTAAAATTAGATGAAGCTTATTTATTTCTTTTCCTTCCAATTATTAATTTTTATTGTTGCTATTATCCGTCTAAGACTAGAAAAATGTAACGATCGCGCCATTTAAAATTTGTTTTTGCAAAAATAGAAAAGCTTCGCATTTTTCGCCTGGGTTTTTGTAAACACCAGTGATACTCAAACGGTTAATTAACACTACATTTACGGACATTTATGCTATACTTTATTCCATTGTTCCTAGAGAACTACGTGTTCGTTTATATAAATCGCGAAAATTGTAGCTTCAAAACCAGAGTATTGCAATGCGTATTCGCATAATTGCAGATCGACTTAAAATATTACTAAATAATGTTTAAAAAATTCAATATCCGTCAAATTGACGGGTTTCGTGAACCTGGTGTTAAAGAGAAATTAGCCAGAATTGCAACGAAGAATATGGATTTGACAACGAGGAATGTGAGAAACGAAAGAGAAGTACACCCGTTGAATTCTCGATGGCGGAACGTTGAAGGCGTCCTGTGATCATTTCGAATCCGCTTGGAAAGCCGCGTCTAAGCGATTTCCGGTCTGGTGGTGGCGTGTGATCAGTCGCGTGGGCGAAATCGAATTTCACCGTCTCGTTATAACCATTTCGTACTCGACTTCCCGGCGTCGATGGGGGATGCCCGTTCGGAAATAAAGCCGACGCGGCGCATGACTCACCGAGCACGCGACGGACGCACGGACGGGAGCGTCGTTTCACCGCACGCTTCGACGCCAGACTCCCGTCACGCTGTGTCAACGAGTTTCCTTTCGACGGGGACTAGCCGGCCGTTCGCAATTAAAAGCGGACGACATTCAAGTCGCTTTTCGTTTTAGGCTTTTTATTACGTCGAGGTATCCTATAACGAACGGTCTTTTCCATGAAATCGAGACCGCCACAATGAACCTGGAGAATTGTGTGCGAAATACATGAAATTTAAATGTAACAATTAAACCGTGGGTCTTTACGGGTTTATAGAAAAGTGGTAGACCCGCAGGAAAGGTGTAGAATCGGGAGAAACGTGTGAAACGTTGAGGATGTAATGAGTTTTAGAATGTTCGCGGAAAATCGTTTTGTATGTTCGGTGTTAACTCAGTATTATGCATTTTTCAGTTTTTAGTGTTAATTCTAATCTTCTAATTGTGTTCTTGAACATTTGAATTTGCGCGAGGATTCGTAGTTTAATGATAATCGATTCTGTTTGTATATAGGTATGCTTGTGTGGTTTTGTTTTATTTAGTTTTTATTGGGAATGTATGGTTGATTTTGAGACATTGTTAATTGTATACTGGATGTCCTTGGTTGTTAAGGAAATAAAAAATGTGAGAAGCTTTTACGAAGGGAAATTAAATGTTTTGGGCGTTGAAATTTTGTTTTGTGCAGTCCTTTGCTGGATTATGACATTGATTCGTTAGGTACGAGGATTTAAGTATTTTAATATTATGCTAGATATAGATTCTGTTGCAATACATAAATAAAAGAATTAAATATGGAAGTAACTCCAGAATAAATTTTGTATATTCAAAATTAAAGTACCCAGTATTCTGTAATCTCGAATGAATGAATCACAGATCGTATCTTCGCACAATTTCCATAGCAATTATTCATCGTGGTAGCTACAATTTAATCTTAATAAGAGTTTCGTGGCAACGACCGCGAAACACGACACTAAGAAATATTTTCATTCGTATAAATCTTTATTTTACACGCGAATGAAACTCTAGTAAAAACCAAAGCACCGTTTTTAGCATTATCAGTCTCATAAGATCTACTTTTTCATACAAGAATTTTTCCTGGTTCTAGAAAAAGAAAATAACGTATACTTATACAGTATCAACGACCTTTCACTAAATCAGTCACCACTGCTATTATCAATAATACATCCCTATTCCATGCACTGAAACTATCGAACAATTCGAGTGATTTATTTCTAAGCTTTCATACAAATTAGAACAATACAGTTCTCGAGATTCGATGGGTCCATTATTGTATCTGCACAAATACACAAAATTATTTTACAATTTTTCGCAATAGTCTTGTCATAATATAAATACCTGCAAACTAAATACTCTAAAACGGATCAATTTGAACCATCTGGTAGTTTATGTTAGACTACAACACGAGACAAAAGAATACATCTCAAATTTACCATACTAACCCAGCATTTCACTAATAATCATGCTTCAAAAATTCAAAAAACATTTACACCCCCAAAGATCAAACAATTACCAGTCCAGTTCAAAGCATCCCCTGAACCACCAAGAAGTTTCAAAAATTCCTCGCTAAGGCGTTTAAAAAATTCAACAGTCCGTGCAACGTCGAAGAAAGAAGGAGCCCGAGGGAAAAAACGTGCGAGGCGCAGGGCGCCCCGAGCGCGCGTGAAAGGTGCAGGCGTCGAGGAGGATTTCACGCGTCCGCAGAAGAGGATTTCAAATACTGGCGTGTGTGAATCAACCCCACCGAATGGAACAGCATCTCGCACGGGTTCGTTTAATATCGCGGCCGTGCACGTCACCCCGCGCCCCCGCCCGCGCGTCTGGCGGTCGCAGATAAACCGGCGAACACGTTTTCCCCCGGTGAGCATCAGAAAGAGGCGATCTAAAAAATTCACGACGCCTCGATCGCTCGATATCCCCGGGAAACCGTACGCCGCCGCCGCTGCCACGCACCTCTCGACTTTCACCTACGCTCCTCGAAAATACTCGACCACCATTAAGACCTCTCCCTCCCGCCCCCTCCGCCGTGGCGTGTCGGGAAAGTCGAGCAGCCCCCTGAAAAATCCCAGAAGTATTTAGAAAGCCAGGTCTCAGAAGTTAAAGAGCCTTGCGTGAAAGTTGGGCTGAATGGAGGAACCATTCATCGAACTGGAGGAACATCGACATTGAAGGTTCAATGAGAGAAAGAACGAGAACCGTTTGAGGTGCATTGAGGATTGCTGAGGAATGAGAAGTGGAGGATTTTGGAGATTTGATGGAGGTTCGGGGGCTTGGAAGTTTGGAGGATTTGAGTTTTTGAGATTCGGGTGGGTAGGTTAGTAATCAGCGGAATTTGACTTAGAAGGCTTTTCTTTGCGGAATGATAGAGGTTTAGATAATATTGAAGTTAGAGTAATTATCTGAGAAGTTTGAAGTGTTTGAAGTTTTGGAATTTAGCATTCTATGAAGGCGGAGAAATATAACTATCATCAAGAATCTACTCTCAGTTCATTCAAAATTATGGAACTTACATTTTCCTTCTAAAACGCCGGGCCTACATACCCTAAGTTACTAAAACAATTTAATATCATGCATTAGATTCCGAACTACCCCATCGAATAAGTAACAAAATCTTCCAATCACCTCCCAATTCGCTCCGAAAACCCGCCGCACTTCAAATTTAACCTTCAAACTCCAAACCCTCCAAATCCTCTAATAGCATCCTCTAAAATCCACTACTAAATCATCACAACCCCTAAATTCCGAGTCACGTAAATCTCATCAATTCGATACGCCGTATCAACTTTACCCTTCAATTCACCCCTACGATTTCCCTCCCCAGAAAAGGGAAAGGGACAGCCTTTAACTAACAAGATCCATAATTTCAGGGAGTGCTGTTAGACCCCTATCCCTAGCCGAGCGACAAGAAACAAACGTCTCTCGAAAACTAAAGCGCACAGAGCACTGACCGGTTCGATCACGGTAGTGCAACCACCTGGGGGTGGGTTTCCCGCGGCGGCGTTGTTCTTTGAACGTCATACCTTCAGTCTCGGATGAATCGTTTTGTGTCCCGCAACAGGCAGGCCGTCGACGAAAGCGAAACACAGACTGTCGGGCGGCTGGGGGTGCGCGCACACGGTGTGGCCACACGCCAAAGGAGCTGTACACGTCTGGTGTGCGTATGTGTGTACGGTGTATTCACGAGTGTGCAGGTGTATAGGTGTTGTGTTTGTGTCGCGAACGGAGCCCAGCGAAGCAGGCTTCCCCGACAAGGTGTGGTTGACAGTCGCGGACGCACTGACTCCCGGTGAGAAGACGGCGCGCGAAGCACACCCCGATATTGATTGGCGGCGGTCCCGGTGCCACGTGA